AGCGGAGCATAAGACAAAGGCTTAAGTGTGCATACTCTATCCAGGACGCTGATCCAGGAAGCAGAGCAAGAAACAGCAAAAGTGAAGCAGGGAAGTGGGTAGGACCTGTGCAAAGATGCTTGACATATTCGAAGTGGCCACCCCTACGAGCAGCTGGTTGCTCAATCCTGCAAGACAGCCTAAAGAACCATAACAAAGAAACAGAAATGCTGCAGTGGGAAGAGAGTGGCATCGGGCAAGGCACTGTTAGGTTGTACGTGCCAGAAGCCAGCTGGAGCCCAGGAAGAAGCTGTGGCTGGAAAAAGATACAGAGAGGCCAGATGAATCTGAAGTAGTAACAACAAGTTGTGTCCCATAATGCACAAATATATTCTTGTTGCATATACTTCAGAGCATAGGTATATAAAGTAAAACATAAACTTTTGCTCCCCACCCTTCTCCTGGATACCTGTCATTAACATTTCACTTTCTTTGCATTTACATATCATCTAAGACATATACAAATGTCTTTTTCCTTTTAAAAAAAAACATGAATCAGATCATACTAATCTTTTTCTGTGACATGTTTTTTTCACTCATGTATTACATCATGGTTAGGTTTTGGATTTTTTTTAAAAACATTCATTTTAATGTTTTAAAAGACAGAAAATGACAGGCAGAGGGAGTCTAAAACAATTAGAACTGAGGCAGCTGTAACAAAAATGAACACAATGCAATGATTTGACCTCATGAAGGAAATGACAAATAAAATTTCACAAGTCTTCATGTTTGCAATAATATATTAATGTACAAAATATCAAAAATACAAAGTATCAGTGTTCCCCTTTACGTTTATAATAGACTTTCAAATTTCTGTTTAATACATTTATAAGCCTTCTCTGTTTAGCAGCGGCACAAATATATACTTACTAGTATTTTACCATGAGAATTATAGTTTTCATCTCAAACTAGTCACTTGCCTTTTTCCCATAGCTATATACATTTCATTTCCATTATAAGACACTAAAGACCTTTCTAGTGGTAAATCTTGATTTTTAAAAAGAATCTTTTTAGTACTGTAGCATGATGGATTTAATTGAACAGTTTAAGAATAATATGGTAACTACATCATACTGTTTAAACCAATCCACAGCTGTGAGAAAATGTTTGATTTTTAAAATATAACCAAGATGAGACTGCACAGTTATGAGCAGTAAAATACTAGAAAACAGTGAATTAATAAAATGATTTTTCATCAGTGGCCATTTATTATTTTGCTCTTAGGAACCTGGAAGAAATGGTCTCCTTTGAGTTTCAAGTGTTCTAGTAAATCTAGGCATTTCTTAGCTTCCTCAATATCACCTTGAATCACTGAAATAGGCGACTCTAAAGAATCAAAGTTCTTTTCTGGTCTGAGGTAGCCAACGATGGCCACACTGAGGCTTTCCCCCAAAGAAGTCCTCTTTGAAGGTATGTGTGATACGAGTTTCCATGGACTTTTTAGTATTCTTGTGCTATGGGTTCCTTCCTATGCTCACCGCCATCTTTTGGACATCTCCACTTCCAACACTGGCCCAGCCATAGTAAAGCGCAGGGTTATCTGCTACTTGTTCGGGAAAGTTAGCTGTGCGGGTGCCTAGCTGCTTGCAGCTTGGCGGTGGCGGAAATAAGGCAGGTGCCTCTGGACGCTGTCCACTTGGGGTATGGGCTGCAAGTCCTGCAGAGCCAGCATCAAGGTGGTGCCGGGACCCAGGTCCAGCCAGGGGACACCGGCGCGAACTCAGCCCGTGGGCCGGGCAGATGCACAAGCCCGGAGGCACCGCGACTGCCAAGGCAACAAGCTCCTTGCGCTGCAGACCCAACAGCACGTCATGCTTAGGTTTTACGTCACCGTCAGCAAGTTGATTTTGCCCTGTGGGAGGTACACTGGAAAACACTGATTTAACCTTTATTGAATTGATACATGAATGAAGGAATGAAAGGATGAGTTCTGGTTAGAGTTTTGCCTGTAGAAGAATGCTGCTGTGCAGTGGGTACTGGCTGGTAAAACATGGAACTGCCCTTGCCAGACGGCTGACCAGTCACCCTGCCAGCCTCCTCCTCCTCATGCATCAGTACCTCCATGTCCTCAATTCAGCAGTAAGAATGGAGACTGTACAGGGGAGACATGGAAAAGAGATGAGAGGAAAAGCAATTATCTCTCTACCCATCCGAGCTCTTGGCTGAGGCCCTATATGAAAAGACAGATTAACAAGAGAAAAACTAGTTTCTTCCCATGTATCCCTCAGGTATACATGGGAGAAACCCAGGGAAAAAAAAATGAGTTAACTCCCCAGGGTGACTTCAAATTCAGGATTAAATACCATTTTAACAGAGAAAGAAGACGGGGGAGGTAGGCCTGTTAGGGGAGAGTAAATAACTTTTAGGAAAGGTGAATGGCCCTTAGAATAGATGGGAGGTATCATAGCTTGTGACAGTGCCTGTGTGGGTGCGGTATAGACTTCTGATCTCTCCTGTGACAAGAATCAATCTTCTCTGGTTGATGACACTCCTGGGGAAGGGATCTATGGCAATTGAGTTCCTTTTGGAAGATCTGTCTCTAGGCAGATAAATGGAATTCAGAGAAAGCCTCTCCCTGCATTTGCTGTTTTTCAAGTGCCAACAGCTCAAAATAATATATCAAAGCAGCATATTTGGGGTGTGTCCTGAACTCCTACAGTCAAATTTTGGGGTAGCGTATTCTGCTACTCTTCAGAGACAAGGGGAGACTCTTAACAAAGATTTGTTCAGTCAGCAAATATGTTAACCCCATGCTCAGTGACAGGCACTATAGATAAATGGGGAACACAGCAAGAGAGAAGAGTAAGGCAAAGATGCAAAAGGCAAAGAAAATAGAAATGTTCCAAAGAAGTAAGAAATTTCAGTGATGGCTAGATTAGTACAGTGCTTGTGTTAATATAAGTTGTTTAAATCCCAGCCATCTGCTCCCACATCAAACACATACACGCTGTACTCCTGATTTCACTCCTCCTACACATACATATACATCCCAATAATAATCTAGTGATTTTCCACAGTTGATAATAAAAAATACATTTGATTCAAACCAGTGGATTGTGACCCAGATCTAAGTATAAATATAGTGGGAGTCCAAAGTTTCTTTAGTGACAGTCTTACTAAATTATTTGGCCTGTTTTTAGCCACATTGGGTATTTTTTTTCTTTTTAAGGTTGTTATGAATGTTGTTTGTAGCAGCATCAATAAGCCAAGAATTCACATACTCAATCCACAGATTACTCATCATTGCCTGTTCATAACAGAATCCTAAAATGTTTAAGATTTCTGATGCAAATCAAAATCTCATCATCGCTTGTCATTGCTAAATTAAATGACAGGATAATAACATTACATTAAAACCATTTTTCTCTTGATTGAGTACCTTTTTCAGAAGTGAACCTTGTAGATGTATATTTTTTTCATCAGTACTATAAATGCACTTAGAATCCAAGATAAAAATAGAATTGAAAAGGGAGGAGTGGAGTGGGATGTTTTCAAATTATTGACGAGTCTCTTGAATCTCAACCATATTTGACAGTGCAGTGCTGGGGAATGGAGTAGTTTAGCTCAATTTATTGAGACTTAGAACTATAGAAAGGAGGCTCACAGGTCAAACTTGGTCTTTATTGACACGACTATATGTTTTTGTCATCAGTCATATGGCATTCCAATACAAACTGGCTGTTAGTGACCTGTAGGAACTGGTGCTGTTCTGTTACTCTAATAAGATAGGTTACAGCCTATGTGGGAAATGAATTCCTAATCTGCTAAAACAGAGTCGATTCTGTTGACTTACTGTTGTGAACTCTCTTGGTCGTTCTGTCTAAAGCTAATTAACCTTTCGATCACACCGACTATCTCTCCATCTGGCCCTTGGCCCACTTCTTTGTGGCCAGTCAACCAGTCCTCATGCCACTGAGCCCATCGTCTTCACTTGCCCTTGTACCCAGAACTCCTTTTCCATTTTAAAGTCTTCTGTCCTTCAAAGATTTTGCTTCTTCACATCTTCCACCTTTAATGTTATGAAAATCATATACTGGAGCAAACCTTTTACTTTTTGCCTCATTTAATACGATCCTCATTAGGTGGTAACATGTCAGTGATAACATGTCAGTAAAAATCTCAAGCTCTTAGAGAAGTTGACGTAGGTATAGACTGAAACAAGATGGGCCATGAGTTGACAATAGTTGAGTCTGGCTGATAGGTGCATGGGTGTAGAGGAAGTCAGTATGCTATTTTCTCTAGTTTTATGTTTGAAGTTTTCTATAGTAAAATTTAAAATTAAATTTAGCTCTTTAGGATCCATTTTTTAAATAGATGCTCTTTTTCGAGTCGGTGCATGGAATGGGTAATACACAGGATGGATTAGGCCAAAAACCTGATCCTGCCATCTAAATACCCCACTATCACCCCATCCTCAAGGACACAAATAAAATTCTTTAGAGCCTGGAACTGCAACTTCTCTCTTCTCCTTAGGTCCTGAACGTGATTACCAGAATCCTGGTACACCTACCCCCTGCTTCTTCTTAAAGTGCCTAGATAAAACCACACAGAAACACACATTAACTTGGTCCTATTTATTAAGTCCCACTGTGTTTAAGCTCTGTGCTAGGCATTGGGAAGGGGGAATATGAAGCTACTTCCCTCTGAGTTCCCCAAGATGGAAAACAGAGGCACCAATGAACAACCCTGATGCAGTATAGACACTAGGAAATGTCATCTGAAATAGAACTACAGCTGTGCAGCTGTAGGGTAGTGGGGAGAGGAAGTGTCAAGCAGATGTGTTCTCGAAAATGATGCAAACTACTGAATATTACCTTGAAGGAAAAGGTACTCTTCCCTGCTTTGGCTCGTAGTTATGATCGCTAAGGCTAGAGCTCCAACAGATGACCTTCCCTCTCCTGAAGAACTTAAAATGATTGAGTTACTAATGTACTTTTTTCCCTCTTTTTAAATTATGATAGTCTTACTTCTCGTTTGCCAAAAACTGGAGAAACCATCCATGGACATAAATTTTTTATTGGCTTTGGAGGGAAAGGTGCCAACCAGTGTGTCCAAGCTGCTCGGCTTGGAGCGAAGACATCCATGGTGTGCAAGGTAAGTGTAAAGTACAGTGGAGAGGATTCTAGAGGTAAGAATCTGGTTTTAAGACCTGAGTTCATTGTTTTTATTGAACTTTTTTTTTATATATATATTTTAAGTGATCGATTCAGTGGCATATAGTAATGCCCTCACGATGTCATACAACCACCATTTCTGTCAAGTTCCAGGACATTTCCATCATTTCATAATAAAACTTCTTTCTCCCTATCCTCCCCCTGCCCACCCACTCCCAACCCCTAGCAACCACCAATCTACATCCTGTCTCTATTCTGGATGTTTCCTATAAATGGAGTCATATGATATATGGTATTTTGTGCCTGGAGTCATATGATATATGGTATTTTGTGTCTGGCTTCTTTTACTTAGCATGTTTTCAAGGTTCATCTACCTTATAGCATGTATCTGTACTTCTCTTTGTGGCTGAATAATATTCCATTGCATATGCCAGTTTGTTTATCCATTTACCTGTCGATGGACACTTGGGCTGTTTCCATCTTTTGGCTATTGTAAATAGTGCTGCTTTAAACATGCACGTATATGTACTTGTTTGAATACCTCTTTTCAACTCTTTTAGAAGTTCACTCTTGTTAAAGATTTAAATAGGAGAGAGTAATCTTCCTTGTCCTTTGTTAGTTTCTACCTCACTGAATCCTCTGGGAAGCAGCAATCCTCAAATAACTTAATGCTGCATTCCCCGAATTGAAAGAGTGGATAACTAGAATTAGCCTACTCCGAGGGGTTTCTCTAGTCCAGCTTCCTAACAACAGCACGAGTCATCCTGCTTTAACTGTAGCAACACAGCTTTTAGAAACTTGGTCTAATAACTGGTGATTTACTCATCCCTAAGTTATTTTCTTGTAATGCTATATCTTGGATCAGAAAGGAAATTGGGCCTTAATGAACTATCCATAATGATCTTTAGGCATAGTTCTGTTTTCAGGTATGTAAAGAAATGATATGTACAATGCAGCAATCCTATTTCCATCCTACTGAAATTATTTGAAAATAAAGCAGACTTGGCTGCCAAAGGTTCAACTTTTGCATCTTTAATGAAATTTCAAGATGCTATCATTACTGGTATAACAGGAAAAGTAGTTTATTGTAGGAAAGCTAGACTGGGTCTGCACAGCTGAGGATAAAAGAAATGTGAGAAATTTAAATGAGCTCTCTCATGTGAACTGGGTAGATTTTTACCACAATTTCTCTGAAATGTCACTTCCCATTGCATACAGCACTTCTCTCTCCAAAGGAGTCTTTAAGTGATGCATAAACTATACAATTATCAGTTCATCTACTAACGAACCGTAGCTTTAGTTCTAATTTATGACTCACATGATATAATTCTCATCTGGCTGTTTGGTCAAAAACATCACTTGAAGCACAAGATTCAGAGAAAGAAACCCTCATCTGCTAAGGCTGAGCTCTTGATAGATTTAAAATATCAATTAATCAGCAATAAATTATTGATGACCTATTATGTGCTAGAAATTATGGAGCTTAGAGAAGGAGCTGATGAAAAATGTTAGACCTGACCCATCCTACACTTGATTAGAAATTAAGGGTTTGGGGAGTAATCAGATAGTGCTGACTTAAGAGGGTTTGGGAACGGAAAAGAGGATTTCATTTCCTGGCTGGGAAAACTTGGACAGATAATCGGTGTTAGAAGCAAGGGACCAAGAATGGCTGCCCTGAGGAGAAGGGAGTTCCCTAGAGCTGGAGCTGTTAGAGTTTGGAGAACCCCCTCTTGGAAGCTTTATAAGAGCTGTTCATGTAGCCATTAAAGTCAAAAATTAGATGTCCCCTGGGATCTCTTCCAAAGCGAAGATTTTGAGATGGGTTTTATTTTAGGTCTATTGAATTTGAGGCAAAGAGAAAAGCAAAATAGAAATATTTGAATTGTGGAACTACACTTAGGAAATGAATCATGAAACCACAGGAGTGGATATGAGAGGAATAGAAGACAGAGGGCTGTACTTGGGGAAATGTTCCATTTGGGAAGATGGTTAAAGCAAAAGTGCTGTGTGTTTTATTCTGGTCTGTGTATGATGGTTTATGTTAGCACCTGTACAGTTCTGAAGTGCTTCATGTCTGCCGTGCCCCTGATTTAGTCATCTAGTGTTTAGGCCCATAGTGGAATTTAACCTGGGTGTCTTACAGAGGATAAGAAAACAAAGCTTCAGTTAAAACCTATACATGGTTACTTTCCTTCGACAAACTGGGACTGTTAGACATGGATTTATTTAAGCTTAAACAAATTGCATTATATTCTTAGACTTCTTAACAAGGAAAATAAAATCTCTTATAGTGGGAGTTATTGTTATCCATTAATCATGGTATTTCTTTTCATTGTGAAATATATTTTTATTAAGCAAATTAGCCAAAGTGTTTTATGGCAGTTTGTTAAAGATGACAAATTCCAAGTAGAAACCAAAACCATTAAATTACTCAAGATAAAATTGAACAGATGGAACTTAAAAAAAAAAGAAAGAAAGAAAGAAAATTTCCTATGGTTTTCTTAGTAACATTGATTTGTACTACTGCCCTACAACAAACTAAAAATTCAAGCTCTGATGAAATAAGTCTTTTCGATAACACATGCAAAACATCTTATATTGAGCTAAGGAGAAATATTTGTCAAGATATTGTGGTAAGGACTATTAAGCAAGAGTCCATCAATATGTGTACAATGAAATATACATAATGAAACACTTCAAGTCGTCACAAGTTGTATAGTCAATGTTCACTTGTCACTGGCCAAAGCTGCAGTCCAAGGATAATTGGCAATGATATTTTGAGATTAAAAATCCAGACAGATATAGAAAATGAAAGTCTTCTCGGCATGGCAAAGAACCTGTTAGGATACCTTTCATAGGACTTCACCTGATTTGTTTTCTTCTTCTCCATTCCATTAAAGCCAAGTATTAGAGAGGAGGAAAGTGTTTCTAAACATCAAAACTGACAGCTCAGGAGGACCATGGTAGAATAAAGAGCTGAAGATGCAGTGGCCCAGTCTGAGCCAGAGACCCTGCTTCCTGTGCAGATGGAAGGAAGCCATGAGCAGACATGGACCCAAATGACGCAGATCCGAAATCAGCAAACTGGGAGGACCTTCAAGAAATTACCTGGTCTTGCTTCCTTCACACATGAGACTCTCTAAACTCGAATACAAGTAGCTGTGTGTTTTCCTTTGAGAGGTCGGGTCTGGAGTTCCGTGACAGAGGCAGTATGTTAGACCAGTGCTACGCAAAGTCTGGTCCTCAGGCCAGGCTGCAAACTCACTGGTCTGGACAGCACAGCAACTGAGAGTGAAGAGAAACATTTATAGCAGTTTGATAATTTTATAGCTTTTGAATATAACAGTAATAAATTAGGTCTTATATTTTATGTGGTTCTTTTCATTTCATTATTATATTTTACAAAATTATTAGTCTAAAAATGGATTGAAAGTGAAAAAAGAGCTGAGTCATCACCACATAACTTGAAAAGCAGTATGTTAGAGCACCCATCATCTTCACCAAAAGGAACCTTCTGTGTTAAATTATTATGGGATGATCAACTAATCGTACATTCTGATTTTAATTTTCAAAGATCAAAAATTGGTCACCAGGCCTTTCCAGGTAATATATAATGAAGTGAAACCTGTCCTTTCCTGAACTCTGTTGAAAAACCACAGGCTAAAACTAGTTGGCTATGTTGATTGGAATGCCAGGCCATGTGTCCAAGCACAGGAGAGCCTATGATCCTAAACAAATAAATGACCCTAATCAAATAAATAAAATGTGCCTCATATAGGAAGAATGGAAAAAATAATTGAATTAACAAACCTATCGCCACTCTCAGATAAGCAAGTCTGATAATGGTGACTGTAACATTAACTCTGTATATTAAAGGCCATTATTAAACAGCCACTTGAGGATTTAAACAACCAGCAAGCTTAAACAACTGGAATTTTATGCATTTTTTCATCTTTTATGATAAAGCCACAAGTGACAAGTTAAAAAGTTAATATGAGGGATTTATTCAAAAAAAGCAACTGCTGGGTTTTGTTACATGACAACAAATGCATCTTAGTCTCTTAAAGCTGCTGTTCATTTGACCCTCAGTCTCTCTACCGCTGCATTGTCCAATACAGTAGCCGCTAGACACGTATAGCTGTTTAGATTTAAATGTCATTAAAATACAATTAAAAATCGAGTTCTTCAGTCACACTGGCTACATTTCCATCATCTATACTGGGCAGAACATTTCCTCACTGCAGAACGTTCTATTCAGCCGTGCTGCTGTAAAGTATTCAGGGAGAGCTGAGCCCAGGATTTCCTAAGAGCAGCCAGGGTTCTACGAGTTGCTTTAGCATAAGTGAGTGGTTGTCCACAGTTGCTGATGAGCTGGCATCTTTCATGTAGAGCAGGCGCACCAACAGGCTACCACAGACTGTGCAGTTTTCCCAGAATCCTTCTGCCCAAAAGTAATTCACTGCTGTAACCAGAGTATGAGAGTGCCTTTAAAGGACTATTAGAAACAAAACCTTGGATAGAACCTTTCTGTAGCCATGACTAGAATAGTATGGGTGCCTGTAGTCATGTCCCTTTAAGAATGATAAATAGGCGCTAGGAAAACAGGCAACCAAAATGATCTTATACTTACAGAACACCTTTATTACACAAGGCTTAAGGAGGGATAAATGTATGCTAAGCTAGAGTCTCCAATAAGCTTTTAGGAAGACCAGACTTTAAGGAGATTGTTTAGGCAAACAATATAAGATGGTATTGAATGTTTAATTACTTATTATCCATTAGGAATGTCATAAGGGTCTGGAAATAAGATTAACAAGGGATAGAATAGAGAAGGTAGGCCTTAAGCTGATGCTTGAAAAACAAGTATGTTTTGATTAAATGGAGAAGAGAAGACTTCTAAGTTCTCATAAGTGAAGGCAACGAAATAGACGTGAATATATTTTACACACACAGTGTTTTAACATAGTCGAATGATAATATCAAGTTAATAGTGCCTCTACTGACCACTGAAAAACAGAAATCCAACTATTTTTGCCAAATATGAGTTTTAGAAAGATAGAAGCAGAAGCAACAAGAAGCAAGCCTGGGCCACATCAAAATGAGACTGGAGTCAGCAAACACAAGCCAAAGGAATCTATCAGGCTTCACGATACCTTCCTTGATCCCCATGCTGGCCTCTGATGGGTCCCTCTCCCTCAGAGGATTCTGTAGGTCACACTTGTCCATGCTCTCACTTAGTTGACTTAACCATCTAGTACCAGGCAGGACTATGCTCTCCCTCTTCATTTCTTCCACATAGACAAAGCTTTACAGCCGCTTTCCCTGCTTTTATCCTGCAACCCGTAGTCTTTGACTGGAGCCACACATTGTAATCACCTGGAGAGCCTGTCAAGGTCCCACCTGCAGGGGGTCTGACTGAACTGGTCCCAGGTGTAACCTGGGCGTCAGGACGTTTATAAGCTTCTCAGGAGATACTAATGAGCAGCCAAGGCTGAGAACTGTTGGTTTCCCGCCTGTCAGAGATCACTCACGACCAGTCCCACCCTTCAGCTTGGCTCAGATGGAACAGTTTGTGGCAAAATGTCGTCAAGAATTTTAATGAGCTTGATAATGGCAGAACTGAAATTAGATTCCAGGTTTCCTGACTCCCATATGCCTCATGGCCAAGATACTTGATGTTTGCATATCAATTTGATCGCCAACGTGTGACCATAAAAATAAGGAAGCCTCCCAAGATACCTATGAAGCTTCTTTATAACAGTCCTTATTGTAAGGGCCTTTCGTTTGTATCATTCACTGAGATTTTCAAGATACTTGCACTCAGCTCTCAATGGCAGGCAATGAATGACACCTTTGCTTGGGTTCTATTCTTCTGACCTCTGGCTGTCAATTTCCAGTTAGTGGGGAAGAGGCGTAAATATGAGTTAAAAGTAAGCAAAGGGGATTGGAAGGTGTTCACTTCTCCCAACCTTTTTAAAAATCCAGAAGAATGAATGAATGTTTAAGAGGTTTTGAGGGTGGGGCAACAGGGAAAATGGCATTCTTTTAGTATAACATTGCACATGTCATACTATAATACAGAGAGAAAAAAAGGACTCAGATCTCCGTTGCTCTTTGTCCACATTTTGATCATAATTTAGATCTACTTGAAGCTTAAACAGTATTTCCGAGGCATAGATACTCTCCCAGGTGTCTATCTTGTTCCAGCGAAAATAACAATACATAGAACAGCATTAGTTATCCTAAACCATTAACGGAGATGTTATGTTTTTATTAGAATAACAGTAATACGGTCTCATTTTAATAATAATTTAATGCACCCACATGCTTGCTTCCATGATCAAATGCTCTTCTGTCTGAAAATAGGAAGCAACAGGAAGCATTAGAGCATCAGAGAGAACAAGGTAGGCACAAAAGAAGTTTATAAGATTGAATCTAAGCAGTAGTAGCCCTATCCGTTCCCCCAAGAGAAGCAGCCTGATGATAATGATGATGATAATACCAAACCCTTATTTAATCCTTTACAGTTTTAAACGTGCTTTCATGCATATTATTTTATTTTATCCTCACAGCAAACTTGCTGTGACTTTCCAGGTAAGGACACTGAGGCCGAGAGAGAGTTAAAATGGCTTGCCCCAAATCACACAGCTAATGTGAAAGGGCTTCCATGGCACAAATGAAAATATTGTTGTCCTCTTCTTGGGCTTTTCATCTCCTCTTTCACTTTGTATCGTGTCACTATAACCTAGATGTGAAGTTAACGAAGCTAGAGCTGACTTCTCTTAAACCTCAGCAGTGTCATTACGTTTCCATTTTTTTTTTTTAGTTACCAGATTTTTATTTTTGACAAGGGAATATCAAAGTATTTTGTTCCACTTCTCACATAGAGTTTGAAGGCCCTGGAACCATAACCATCGCTGGGGGATCTAGCCAAGCAGGTGATGCTCTGAGTGGGAAGAAGACAGACAGCTGCTGCAGCCTCTAAAATACAACTGCAGCCAGGCTACAAAATTCAGTTACCCTGAACGCGAAATCCCATCTCGTTTATGCCTCTGACGTACATGATATTCCACCCACCATTACGGTTGCCTCTGTTACGTCTTATTTCCCTCTAATATTATCAGTTTCTTGAGGGCAAAGCTGCATGTTTTTTGGTTTCTTCCTCCCCTCCGACAATTCTTCCTAGCCCCTGCACTTCCTAATGTTTATGTCATCACTACCATTTATCACCTGCCTTTAATACTCACCTTAAACAGATTTTTTTACCTGTATAAAACTGACAAGAAAGGGGAGAGGTGAACTGCTGCAAAAGAGACCATATGGCCCGCAGTGTCTAAAAGATTACCTGTCTGGTCCTTTACAGAAAAAAATTTCCAATCCCTGATCTAGACAGTCCAGAAGCTCACCAGGAAATTTTATCTTCACTCATAGAAGATACTGACCCAAGTAAATCTCTAGGCTTCTTTCTCTTGATATTTTGGAGAGGAACAATTCTCTGTGGACGAGCAGAACACACCAGGAGTGGCTAAGACCTGATAGACACATAATCCATTGATGCTGTGCTTACCTGCAGGACAGAAAAACAGAAGTATAGTTCAGGAGTGACAAACCTAAAGGCCTACAGGGGCCAAGCAGGTCACATAAATTGCAGTGTGTCACGTGGGGTTGTGGTGAACTAGAGAGCACATACTGACCTTTGGGGCAGTTACAGCTGGGTGGCCATGCAGGCATATAAGCCCAGTGTTACCAGAGCCTCCAGAAAATCTGTTTGTTTTTATGAAATCTAATATTGAGATATTGGCAGCTGGTTAAAATTAAAAATAGGAGGACATCAACACAAAAACCTGCCCATTGATGTTTATAGTAGTTTCATTCATAATTGCCAAAACTTGGAAGCAACCAAGATGTCCTTCAGTGGTGAATGGATAAATAAACTGGTACATCCATACCACAATATTATTCAGCGCTAAAAAGAAGTGAGCCATCAAGCCACAAAGACATGGAAGAACCTTAAATACATATCACTCAAGTGAAAGAAGCCAGTCTAAAAAGACTACATACTGTATGATTCCAATGTACAACATTCTGAAAAAGACAAAACTATAGAGACGGTAAAAAGATCAGTAGTTGCCAGGGGCATGGGGGCAGAGAATGATGAATAGGCAGAACACAGGATTTTTAGGGCTGCGAAACCATTCTGCATGATGATATAATGGCAGAGATATGTCCAAACATTTGTCAAAACCCATAGAATATACAACCTCAGAGTGAACCCTAATGTAAACTATGGAGTTTGGCTGATACTGACGTGTCAACATAGGTTCATTGATTATCACAACTGTGCCGCCCTAACCATGTTATCTACTAGTGGAAAAACAATGGGTATCCAGAGGACAAATTGAAGTTTCATTACTAGAATGGATGCTAGGAGGCGAAAACAGCAAAATTCCGCTGTATCAAGTTAGCAAGGGCTGTTTAAATTTCTCATCTTTGCCATCCATGTCAGGGTCAGAGGAGAAGATAAGATTCTAAAACATCAGGCAAGTCATTACAAAGATGCTGTCAGCGGAACAACTGAGATTCATAAATATTGTGGATTGCTGATGGTGGACAGCTCTGTCTTGGTGGGAATTTCCATGTGACCAGATCAACATGAGAGTGAACCTACAGAACGTGTGACAGTTTAAGTGCTTCACATTTTAGGCAGGCTATAAGTAGAACATTAATATATAACGATTCTTTGGGCTGCAATCAAGTCTAGCAATTTACATTAAGAAGATTAATTAGTTAATGTTTATAAAGTACTGTGCAGATATGCCCTTTTAAAATGCTAAGTATTCTAAAGCCTACATTATAGCATTTTACTAAATGTAGAAGATCTAACGTTCATCATTTCTTTGGTACAGGTTGGCAAAGATTCTTTTGGCAATGATTATATAGAAAACTTAAAACAGAATGATATTTCTACAGGTAAAATTTCATCTTTTTTTAAGTTGGTTTTTATAATTTTCTTCTCTGATCTGATTACAAGAAAAAGTTGGATATAGAATAGAATTATTAGATCCTCCCCTGGTGGACAGAGGATTTTTATGCATGACTTTGTCTAGTCTTACTTAAACAGCCTTGCTTAAACAATAGGTTACAAACTTTCATCTCATAGAAATGTTTCAAAAGCAGGTGACAAGAGAAAACAGGTGCTATATTCACAAAAGATATTTTAAGAAAAGCCATTGAGTATCATACCTGGAAACGATCTTAGAAACTATCACACAAAAGCGAAAACCAGAGAGGTTCTGAATTTGTCCAAGAGCATACAGCTAGTTGGAGCTGGAGCCAGGACTAGAATGCAGATCTCTGGCTCTAGTTCAAGTTTCTTTGCTGTTGCCAAGGCAGCCCGATCAACATTTCTATCTACCTGCCGGGCCATAATTCTTGATGAGCTGCAAAGCTTATGACAATGAAAATAAACCAAACTAGTTCACTTTATAGGTTTGACTGTTAGCCATTCACCTCAGATCTGTCATTTCTTTCACTGAAGAAATATGGTGGTGTAGAAAAATGCATACGTACACAACTATGAATAATTTGAGGGAACTGGAAGCAGGGGCAGTTTGCTGAGTTGTTACTAATGTAGAGAAAAGGTGCAACTAAGTGTAAAGACATTTTCCTTATTGTATAGGTGATGAGTATAAATTAGCACTAATCATTTATTTCTCTTTTATCATTCCAGATGGTTAAAGGTTAAAAAAGTTTTCTAAGGATTAGTGGTGCATTGAAGTCGTTAAAATAAATTACCCATGCCAGGCTGTATATATGTGATTATAATTTCTTTTTTCTTTTAGAATTTACATATCAGACTAAAGATGCTGCTACAGGAACTGCTTCTATAATTGTCAATAAAGAAGGTATGTGTTTTGCATATTGGAGCATCATTTCATTAAATGGTTCGTTTCCAGAACTTAGAGCAGAAGCATCAATTTTTACCCTAATCCTATGGATCCCTTACCATACCTACCATCCTAAGGCCTAAAGCACGATCTTTCCAATCTAAATATGTTTCCCATTATTTATACTTCCCAGGTTGAGCACTCAAATATAAAACTGTCCATCCAATACATATGAAGCATTATACAGTTGCCTCAAAATAATATTTATATCCTGTAATGTCTCATTACCCTTCACGTGAATTAAGAATTTATATTTGTCTCTAAAAGCAGTTATTCATCTGTCATTTCAGTTACACTAGGTAAATAAATGTAAATAGATAGGTGCAAAAGAAAGTTGATGAATCATATTTATAGAATGTTTAGTGAGCAAATGGCAGTAACTAATTACTTCTAACTTATCGTTAGTGTTCAATTTTGCCTGCTCTTTAAACGGCAATCAGATCTCAAAAGTTTATATATACAACTATGTCAGTCACAAGGCTTTGCCATAGTTGAGCCATTTATCTTTGGAAACAGTAACTTCCCTTTACCCTCAAGTAAAGTCATCATAATTTCTACCAACTATTTTAAGTATAAAAACACCTACATAAGATTTTTAAAATCAGAATTAATATTCAGAAAGACCAAGCACTGGATGGGGCACCTAGGACGGAACCTAGCCCATTATGGGCAGTCAGTATGCATTGTGTTAAATTAGGATTTGTCACAGTATGTCTTTAATTTATAATGCAGTTTCACAAGATCATTTCTCACAGAAGGTATATTTAACTTTATTCTAGTGATCCCAAATTCGCAATAGATCCCAAATTTGCAAAAGACAGTAGATAAAAGTTTTCATTCTAACAATAGATAGTCTGTGTTCATTACTTTAAGCTAACTCTTAAGTAATTATTGCTGCTAACAGCAGCTCATTCCCTGCCTTAACCTCTTTTTTATGTTCTAGTGATATCTTCAAGTTGTTTCTTCCTTATCTCTATACAAAATACTACGTTTTCATGCACAGATGTAATTTAATTTCGTGTTCTGAGTGCCTATCATGGTAGACTTTGTCTGGTTTTTAGTGTATGGTAATGCCCTCAAGAGTACAGTTGTAGTAGAAGAGCTGAAATGAATACCCAGAGGGGTGACGATCAGCCCCTTTAAATATAGGAGTGAGCAGCAAGGCAAAGTAAGGAGTTCAGTTTTGACAAGTTAAAGTTGAAGCATGAATGAGCTAGCCACATGGCAGTGTCCACCAGACAGCTGTGTCTTGGGCTTGTTGCTTATTAGCCAAGGCCAGGCCAGAAATTTAGATTCAGGAGTCAGCAACACAGAAGCAGCAGCTGACTCTAGCCGAGAGAATGAGGTCACTGAGAGAGAAAATGAAGGAGGTATGCAGTCTCTCAGTGTGTGGATACTTTGAATTTTTCCAGAACCGAGGTTGGGTTTATGCTGAACCATCCCCACTTTATTAAGTCCTCTTTGTGGCTAACAAACACATCTGTGGTAAGATGATAGGCTAGCATGTGTGCTGTGTTCAGAGGTAATTTTAGGTCAAGTCTATACAAGAGCAGCACAAGCAGCTTAGGGCGCAAAAAGTGACTGCTACAACTCATCCCTCTAGATCACTGCTGTCCAATAGAAATATAATGCAAGTCACATACGTAACGTTAAATTTTTCATTAGCCACATTTTAAAAAGTAAACAGAAACAGGTAAAATTCATCTTAATATATTCACTAACCCACTGTATATCCAAAATATTATCCTTTCAACGTGTAATCAAAAAGTTCTTTAAAATTAATATTTCACCTTCTTTTCTTTATACTCAGTCTATAAAAATCTGCTGTGTATTGTACAATTAAAGCACATCTCAAATTAGACTAGACACATTTCAAGTAGTCAATAGCCACATGTGGCTTGTGCTCATGACTATCATATTGGACATCGCAGCTCTTGAGAGTTCACCTGACAGATAAAATGCACTTCCACACCTCCCGCATTTAGGTGGGATTGTAGAAAGTGAGTCTAAGTGATGAGTATATAAGATCCCTTAGTCCTGCTTCTGTTTGATCTGCTATAGTCTCGTCCAAATATCCTTCTTTCTACCTTACATTATTAGTACAATTTTCTATCTGTTAGATATTATAAAATGTGTTTTGATTTACAAAATCACTTTTCAGAATACCCTAGGGTTTACCTTGAACTAACTGCATACTACAGAGCATTAGTGTTTAGCATTAGGCAAGTTTATTCCTGTTTATACTCATCATTATGACACCTGTCATTTAAGATTAAGAACCTTTACCACATACATTGTACCCCAGCCTTCTCCTATAAAAGAAAATTTTAAAGTATGTTATATATAATTTCTCAGCTAATATTCTTTCTATATAAGAATATCAATAAGGGAAATCATTTTTAGATTTTGCTCAAAATGATTAGAATAATATGAATCTTACTGAGATATTGTAAATAGGAATACGAAATTTAACCTGAATGGCCTAGAAGTGTTAAAATTAACACCTATGACAGTTTCCATAATGACTTTGTTAAAAGTGGTTGTAACGTTGCAGAATATCATTGCTCAGCTTTGCTTTGTTTTAATATAAATATGTAGAAATTCTTTGTAGGCCAGAATATCATCGTTATAGTGGCTGGAGCAAATTTACTTCTGAATACTGAAGACCTGAGGAAAGCCGCCAAGGCCATCAGCAGAGCCAGAGTAATGATCTGCCAGCTGGAAGTGACTGCAGCAACTTCTCTGGAAGCCCTAACAATGGCTCACCGCAGTGGAGGTGATTTCACGTATTTCTCATTCTTTCTGTAAAAGCTTTTATCAATGTCTTAATTACAGTTAACCTTTTAAGCAAAGCAAGGATTTTTCTGTAGTGAAATATTCTTTCTCCCATCTGTGAGATTCACTGACTTCCTCTATTTCTTGATCATGTTAGAAAACCTTACAAATAGGGTAAAAATAATGTGAGTAGCATTTATATATGCCTTACTATTGAACTGTATACTTGAAACTTACTGGATTTCGTTAATGTCACCATAATAAAAATAAATAAATAAATTCAAATCTATCTTAAATGTTTTATATACTGACTCATATCTATCAAAAAAAAAGGAAAGAAGGGAGGAAGGAAGGAAGGAAGGAAGGAAGGAAGGAAGGAAGGAAGGAAGGAAGGAAGGAAGGAAGGAAAAGAAAGAATACAAATAGTAACTAGAATCTTTGAAGCAGCCCAATGTCCAAGATACACTGTAGGTCGTAGAATGATTTCCATTCTGAGAAGCAAAGGATGCATATCATGTATAATCACTGCCCAGCTACATTTTGATATACATCTCTAGAAATTGAAGATTAGTTCTTTCTCCTTTTTGTAAAATTTTATTATCTTTTCCATAAACGAGAGATTATTTATATGCAATATTTTCTATGTTGTCAATGTCCTTTAAGCAACTTTGTTTGTTTGACCTTTGATTTTTAGAAATTCTCAAACATACAAGAGCAAGCAGAATGTTTAAAAAAAAAATGAACAAATGAACAAACAAAACAAAACAAAAACAGACTCATAGAAACAGAAACTAAAGAGATGGTTACCAGAGAGGGGAGTGGGGGGCTGGGTGAAAAAGGTGAAGGGAAATATAGTCAATAGTATTGTTATAAGTTTGCACAGTGACAGATGATTAATTAGTGGGGTGAGCACACTGTAAAATATAAAAATATCAAATCACTATATTGAACATCTGAAAATAATATAAATAATATAATATTACATATCAACTATACTTAAATTTTTTTAAAAAAGCAAAAGCAAGCAGAATTGTGTAATGAATCCAGTTGCCCAGCTTCAACAATTGTCAGCCCTCGGCTAACCTTGATTCATCTGCTCTCCCGCCAGTTCCTCCTCTCCTACCCCCAGGAAATAACAGACTTATAAAAACTCAGATAGTTTCTTCTTGTTTGTTGTTTTTTCACCATTAACCAGTGGGGAGAGCATCTTCTGAGTTAGAAGCCCATTTCTGACCCTGTTAGCTTTGTGGTCTTTGCAGAATTATCAGATTTTTCTGAGCCTTATCTGTTAAATGCATATAGAAACACTCCCCTACAGAATTGTTCTAAGATTGAATAAAATAAAATATGATGCCAAGCTGGGGTTGTAAGTCTCAGTAAATCTCAATTTTCTTCTCTCTTTAATTTGGATAATATCCTGAACTGAGCACCATTTGGTCAAAAAAATAAAAAATAATAAAAACTAGCCACTCTAAGACAATAGCTTCTTCTTGATATTATGATAATAGTTCTGTGATTTATATTAAGAAAGAGAGAGAGAACCACATTGACTTTTACAGGTAAAACTTTCTCATCAATATACAAAACTAAAAAAAGAAAAAAATGAACAGTAAGAGTATATGTCTGTATGTGTGTCTGTGTGTGCATGTGTTTGTGTTAAGTGATTTCTCCCAGAGTGTATAGTGTTCTACACAGAAATAAATGGAAAATAAGTTACTGAAATGATTTTGGAGAACTTTTAAATGTATGTACTGATTTAACAAATCTTCCTCATGGCAAAACAACATGCCATGGCAAATTCTCACTGACATTTAATGTATTTTTAATGGACTCGAAGCTGTCAGAAAGAATTCTGAGCCAAACCCCATTTTGTTACATTTTCTCAGAGTGTCACAGATAAACTCTAGTACTTATGGTGAGCATTCTCTGCCTTGCAATCCTCTTACTTGGGTGATGTGAACACAGAGTGCCACTTCGTTCATGCTCCTGTCTTTCCTTTTATAGATCAAAGCATATTCTCATGTAACTTCTCTTTTTTTCCTACTATCCCTTGCTTCTCAGAGATCACTGTTTCCTCTCTCCTTATTACTTGTTACCTACCCAGCTTGTGGAGGAAAGATACAACAACCACAGTTGAGGATCCAACATTTCACAGGTGAGGCTAGAGTTATCCAGACGGGCAGGCAGCCTGACCTCTGGCTGTCATCCGGGTGGGGGTCCAGAAATGCTTCCTCCATCACCCGCCAGGCACTTCTTCCAGTTAAGGAGCTGTAGGACCCTGGGGACACCAGAAAGGGGGTTAGGTAATGGCGGGCCAAAGACCACTTAGCCTACTTCACATTTTTATGAAAAGCCAGCATGCCTAAGTCTGCATGACCTTATATAATAATACTGGAAGTAGTAATACTTTGCATTTATACGTACTTTACAGCTTATAAAGCACTTCTATATGTATTTGATCCTTAAAAAAACCTTATGACGAACATATGGCAGGCATTATTCTCCCAGATTAAAGGTGAGAAGACTGAGACGTGGAGAGGTTAAGTAATTTGCTCAACCAAGGTCATACTTTTTTTAGTCAGTACAGAAACCAGGATTTCAGACTCCAAGACCCAAGTTCCTCGACCACACTTTACATAAAGAAACTTCAACATCCCATCGATTTCTAGCAACTGAGACTTTATGAAGAGTATCTCCAGAAAAGTAAAATCCATGAATTGTAATGTTGTCCAACGTGGAGCCTAAGCTTTGAGTATTTTGCTGCTCAAGTCACAGAGAAAGGACCCTAGAGTGTTTTCAGCAATGTGTCCCCCACCCACCCCATTAAATACACATACACATGTCTATGGCCATGCCACTCTGAACGTGCCCGATCTCGTCTGATCTCGGAAGCTAAGCAGGGTCAGGCATGTTTAGTACTTGGATGGGAGATCACCTAGGAAGACCAGGTGCTGTAGGCGTAAAAAAAAAATACACAGGTACACAAGCACACATGCACACATGCTCTTCTGTCCAGAACTTAGCTGGTCCCCATTTGGTAGTAACTAGCCAGACACAGCTTAGATCCTACACTAAGGGAGGGGTATGTGTATGTGTCTGGGTGAGAGAGAGAATGTAATGCATCTTAATTCTCGAGAGAGAATAGGACAATGAAAGGAGCACTGTTTGGGAGTCATGAAGTGTGGCCTCTTAGCAAATGGGGGACATCGGGCAAGTAAGTCATTTCCTTGCTCTGGGCCTCAGTTTCTTCTGTAAAACAAGAGAATTGGGCTGAGACCTCTCACAGTTTAATGTGATGATGTGTGAATGGACTGGTCACAGCACAGAGCAGGGAAAGCTTCAACATCTGTTGAGCACTGAGTGTCCTGCCCATTGCCCCATGAGACTGCATATGTGTTAATCAGTATGATTCCACTCACAAGAAAGATGGTAAAATCATCATCCATCATCATCATCATCATCCATGGGTTTATTATCACAGCTTCCTTATCTCTACTACTTAACTAGTGATGGATTTTGAATTAAACACACTGTATAACTAGATTATATATCAGTTATTTAAATACAGAGGAAAAGGAGCCCTCCATCTTTATATATACTGCTTTGGGACTCTTGCTGTCTTTACTAAAATGAAAGCAGTGATTTTAAAGAAACAGCACATGCAACATCAAAAATGAATTGGTGGCCCTCTAAAGCCCCCCTCTGCCCTAGGTCATGATGCTGTGAGGTAGGCCCACAGCAGAACTGCTGCTGCAGCTGCTTGTGATGAAATTATACATGTTGGTTCTGGTCTTTATATCCATTTCAAAAGCAAATGGGACATTACAGGAACAATTATAAATAATTGAGATCGTGTAATCACCAAGATTAAATTCTAGGTAGAATACAAAATATCTTTTAGTGCCACTTTAGTCCTTTTCCATTTGGCAAACAAAACTTCTTGACTGGCCACCTTGACTTTCACAATAAGATTGTCTAGCATGTAGCCCAAGGTTTTAATGTTTTTGCTGCTCAAGTCACAGAAAAGAACCCCTAGAGTAAGAAACTGCCACGCCAGTGTTTGGGGTTGTCCAGCCTTCCCAGTTTCTTTACTTAGGATGATTTTCTTCCCCTGTTTTTTGAGATAGTTATTAGGGCCTTTGTAACTGTCCAGCCACCGCCCTCCCTGGTGCCATCATGAAGAGCTTCTGTCTCATGTTTCTGTCTTTGCACCTATACAGCTGCCCCCCTAGGCCTCCCTAGTTCCTCACTGGCATCACTGCCAGCCACTGACATGCTGTTAAGACATCCAGGAGTTTAGTCTGTCTTACGCTGTGATGAATAATAATTACTGCTGAGTGCTATCAATCACCTCTGTCTCCAAGTTACTCTGTGTTTTCTTGTTTTGCATGGTTCCAGGATGACATCATTTTTTTTTCCATCTTCTCTATTACAAATTTGCATTCTTCTTTGACTAACTATATCTACTGTACTGATTCTTCATGTTTTTTCCATCATAGTAAAGTATTTATGCTTATGTATGATAGCACAAGCCAAAGAGAGTCCTTTCTTTATGGCATTTTTACTTTTCCCCTAAATTTCGTTATTAGTCAGACTCTGAGCCTATGTATGCAGTTACTACTGGTAAGAATGCTTTGTTTCCCTTGGTAAAATACAAGCAAATAAGATTTGATTGATTTTTATACAATATTTATGGTCAAATTAAATTATAGAATTCTTCATTCCAGTGATTTTGCTGAAGAGCCAGTGGAATTGTTTCTTTAAAGTTTGTTTTTATTGTGGAAAATTTCCAATATATATGGATACAGAGAGAATAAATAGTATGGTAAATCCATATGTACTGTCATTTAATTTCAATAATTATCAACACATGACCAACCCTGTTTCATCCATGCCCAAACTCATTACTCTCCACCCCTCATTGCAACCTCAGATTATTTTGAAGCAAAACCTAGACATATCATTTCCTTCAAAGTGTATTTGTTTTTGATGTAAAATATTACTATGTTTTAAAAACAATGTCTTTGCTTGGTGTATACCTGGTAATCTGTGGTCAGATTTTTTTCTCATAAGTCTTTTGTAATTAATCACTTATTAGTTTAGTGAATAACCTCTCGGACTCTTTTCTCTTCTATGTAGGTATATAAATATAAATACACATATAGCTATATTTTATTTGTTTTGTTTAAAAAAAAAGAAGGGGATGTTACTATAGATTTTATTATAAAACTGCCTTCTTCACTTATAAATAAATTCTAGAAATCTTCCTATGACCAAACAGAGATCTACTTCATTCTTTTTGACAACAGCAGAGCATTCCATTGGATGTATGTGTCATAATTTTTTTAACCAATTTTCTCTGCTTGATGCTTAAGTTTCTTTTTTTTTTTTTCTGTTACAAACAGCTGAATGGACATTACTGTACCGTGTTTGCATGCCTGTGTATTCTGTAGGAGAGGCTTAGAAAAGGAATTGCTGGATCAGGGATCTTTTGAGATACAATGGAACTTTTATAAGAACGGCTCTACCCTATTGTTCCTAACTGGCAGTTTGCTCTAACCTGTGTTCAGATGCTGCCGAGGGCAGAGTTGATCATATAGGTGAGCAATGGTGTCTCAGTTTAAGGCTTACAGGAAATAGGAAACAAAATATTTGTTCTGAAAACCTAAAACGTAAATAGGTGTGTTAGAATGCTGGGCAATGAGGGCCTTTATGCATGATTGACATCTCTAAGACCTCGCAAAACTGGGAAAACAAATGAGAGAGATTGTTGCCAGGCTACAGATTCCAATAGAAGGCAGAGGAGATGGGTGGACAGGCGGGGGTGTCAGGCTGTGTGTAAAGGACAATATAATAACAGTAATAATCCTTTACATTTGTACAACACTTTACAGTTTACACAGGGCTTTTACATCCCTTTTCTAATTTAAGCTACACAATAACCCTGTGCAAAAATACGGGCAGCCAAAAATATACCATAGAATTTCCGTGGGTAGACATTCTGGATTCTAAAATAATGAAAATGTGGGAATAGCGTCATCCTGTAAACCACTGGACACGATCCACTGGCCAAACCAAAATGTTAAGACCAAGGAAGGCGCAGACGCAAACTAGCTAGCCTCACCAGGCAGAAGTAGTGGACGGTTTCCTTCGGCCATGTGCCGATAAGCAGCTCCCCAAGAATGTGGAATGGATCGGCGCCAAGATAGGTATGGAAGAGCCACTTGGAGAACTCGTCATTGTGCACATCCCTGATCTTACCCCAAGAGATTCTGATTCAGTGGGTTTGAGGTGGAGCCCAGAAATCTTGCATCTTATTAAGCTCTCCTAGTGATGCTGATGTGTAGCCAAGTTTGTGAACCACTGTTCTGGAAGAGTCTCTGAGAATTGCAGCTAGAGGATTTTACTCTATAGATCTATAATAATTGAGGTTACTAAACACATAAGTCCGTGGACCTGGGTAGAGGAAAAGAAGACCAACCAGTCTAGTTGGGCGCTTTGGTGGATAAGTAAGTGTTTTGACAAAGGGGAAGCTTCCCAAACAAAAGCTGTTTTAAAATGTTGTAAATTGGAATTGTGGACTTGTGCTGCTATGGACAGAGTCCTGGCCTAGAGAGGCAACTATTTTAGCTACAACCAAACCCAGGACTTAAAGCTAGAGGACCCTACGTAGGGACCCAGCCTACACAAGTCCCAGTATATGACCTTGACTGTGACCTCATTTCTCGGAGGCTCACTTTCCTCCTCTGAAAAATGCACTTCCGACACTGCAATGGCTGTGCCGTTCTCATTTGCCCTGTTTCTGCTCTCCCCAGCCTCCTACAGTCTCCTAGTCTGAGCTAGCTCTCAGACTGATTGAGTTTCCCCTTCTTTCCCAGTCTTTCCTTTATGTTCTTAGATTGCTTACAGTAGCCAAGAATACAAGCTTTTGTGTAAATATATATGTTTGCATGACTAATTCTGATATATTTGGAAGATATACATAGGTGTTCAAAATATATATATGTACGTGAACTTCCTACTTACTAGTCTTACCAGGAAAATTTTGAGCTCTTCATTGTTTCTTTTCTATCATCTCTTTTTTTCTTTCCTGGAAAATGGATTTATGAACTAGCCTTGCAACTAAGCATTTAAAGTAACCCACAAAAATGTTCACCAGCCTGAATGTTCACATTCATACAAGTCCTTTCGTGCCACATTTAAAACCTTATTTAATCCTCTTGTTTCCCATCGCCATAACTTTGTGATCACCTTGGTTATAAATATTGATGCCTGCCCTTAAAGCTGAAATGTTGTAAAGTGAAAAGTAGAGTAGATGGAAATAAGGAGTTTGTACCAGGCTATAATAGAGATTGAGATTTTAGACTTTTCTACATCTATAACTATTTTAATTTTTAATCTAATGGGAGAAGGGGTTGCACTTGGGGATTTCTCCTACTGAATGTCTGTAAATGCACCGTATTAAAAAATGATAACCACTAAACCCCTCCTCCATTCATTTACAGTGAAAACGTTGTTCAATCCGGCTCCTGCTACTGCTGACCTGGACCCCCGCTTCTACGCTCTCTCAGATGTGTTCTGCTGCAATGAAAGTGAGGTAAGGATGGAAGGTTTTGCTCATTTCGTGAGAAACCAAAGACTCGTTTAAATGAATAAGCAAAGAAGCAGGGCTCACCACATCAGTTTGATTGCATGTGAATTCTTGGCCCCAGTGAAAACAGATTTTTCAGTTGACGGGGGTGTGGAGAAAGGAAATTAGTCCTAGGAAAAAAAAGGTTCTGAGTCATCCCCATAATCTGGCACTTATCAAACCTCAGTTGATGTTAGTGCTCTCCCTGCTCTCACGTTATTGGTATTTTGTTTTCCTTTTTCCATATCCTATTTACTAATTAGTATTAGAGCTTCCAGATTTAGCAAATAAAAATACAGGACACCCAGTGAAATTTGAATTTCAGATAAACAACAAGTAATATACTAAATGAACTCATACTATAAAATTATTTGTCATTTTTCTGAAATTCAGACTTAACTTGGTGTCCTGTGTTTACTCTAGCAACCCTACTTAACACAAACCCCCAGGAGCCTTTGCTGCAGCCAATTGTGAAGATCCTGTGACTGCATTTGTAGACTGACATCGGTTCTCCACTGATGCTGTGGGAAAGACCTTGGGGTCCCCTCCTTTAGAGGAGCACCCTCTCAGTCCCTCTGAGGGTCAAAATTTATAGATCTGCATAAAACATCTATCAGTGTATTCATGTTGTATCATTTACTCTGAAGCATTTTAGGAAGAAAATTCCAACATTTCTCCCTTTTAAAGCCAGACAGTTTTAGACCCAGGCTCTCCCGACATTGGGAGGCCGGACATATTATACAATGCGACATGCAGGGATAGAAAGTTAGCAATTCATGAACTATAATGTAATTTTCCATTTGGTTTGAAAGCTGAAAGACAGTTTCTAGGATTTCCTAATCTGCCTTTTTGTGAATTTCACCTCTCAGAACATAAACAAGAAAGAAGACTGCCACAGGAAACTGATTTTAACAAACCACAATTGCATTATGTAATATTTCTGAGCAACCACCATGGCCAGGCTTTGTGCTAAGAAAAAGGAATTATAGGAGATAGTGACCATTTCACAAGAGGTTAGATTATCCTCAGCTGCCAAACTGGCTTAGATTTCCTTGCTAGGTACTTACAGAGCACTGTATTTATTCTTTAAACACTGGACAGTTCAAGTTATTTGTTTAATACTTTTATCTTCTTCATTAAATTACTAGCCCTGTGAGGACAAGGACATCTGTCTTATTCACCATTGTATCTCCAGTGGCTATCCCTATGTGTATAGTTATCTATTGCTGCACAATAAATTACCCCAAAATTTAGTAGCTTACAACAACTATAATGATTTATTGTCTCTCACGAACTCTGGGCATCAGGAATTGACACAGGGCACAGCACGGCATGCCTCTCCTCCATGATGTCTGTGGCCCAGAAGACTCAAAGGCTCAGAGCCGGAATCATCTGAAGCCTCCTTCACTCACATGCTTGCTGTCTGATGCTGGCTGCTGGCCAGAACACTTACACATGGCCTCCCCTTGTGTAAGTGTGGCCTGGGCTTCCCTCACAACATGGAAGCTGAGTTTCAACAACCAATATCCAGAGAGAGAGCACCAGGCAGAAGACATGTTGGCTTTTATGACTTAGCTTTGGAAGTCACATAGCATCTCTGCTGGCCCATTCTATTGATGAAAGCAGGAAAATATACCTTGGTCCCCCACCTCTCAATAGAAGATTGTCATTGTCACGGTGTAAAAAGAACATGTACAATGTTATGTATATTTTGATACAGTTATCTTTGGAAATTACCATCTGTTAAACTATAGCTGGCACATAGCACCTAGTAAATGCTTATTGAATGAATGAATGAATGAATGAACACATGAACAAACTCTAGTCTTTGAGAAGACTGATCTGAAAATGTAATCGAAAAAGAAAAACTTTAAAAGCTTAACAGTCTTCTAATCAGAATAATAATGTAAATTCATGCTTTAAGATACTCCCTCTGCTCCACATATACAAACCATTACTATATAAATTTAAAAAGAGATAAAGAAAAGATACTCACGAGCTCAAAATCAAAATAAATAACTCCACAAGCTCAAAATCAAAATAAATAACTCCACAGATCAGAAACGTCACAGAATCACAGAGCATTCTGCCCAGGGCATGCTGGACTCCAGTCCCAGAAACAGTTATAAGCGGTAAGAAGTTTGCCTCCTATGGGTAATAGGTACTAAACATGCACCACTCGTGGGAGCTTGGAGCAGTGCCCACTGCTGGAAACCAGAGATGCTGTGCTTGGGCTCCCCTGCTAGCAAAAAAAGGTAGAGGAAGCTGCTACTCCTGCTGCCAAGACTACAGCCTACATAGGGCTCCAAACTCAACGAGATAGGAGGACAGAGATGCTGCCTCTGAGCAGGAAGGAAAGGTACCAAGACCACTGCTGATTTAGTGACTGGATTGGCCATATCACCAACACCAGAACAGGAACTCTATATTGCCAATATAACACCGTGCTCTGGTTTAGAGACCCTCAGAAGCCTAATGGATGCAACTAAAAAACCTTAGAAAGGCAGGGATAAGCCTGGTGGGAGCTGAAGTGTGAAGTGTGAACACTCTAACTCATAGGGAGCAAGGTGAGCCTCCAAGAGAAGAAACACAGTGCTGTGAGAGTTTACCAGTAGAATCAACAATCGAAAGATCAGTCTTCATAAGAAGAAATTCAAATAATAAAACAATTCCCAAAAGACTTTAAAATAATTATGATTAAGATTGTCACTCATTAAAAAAGAAGAAACCGTGGAAGAAAAACAATTGAAATCTTGAAAATGAAAAATAGCATTGAAATTTTTAAGCACTTATTAGAAAGATGAACATTAGACTAGAATGAAGAATTAGTGAATTAAAAGAAAACCTTGATCAATTCACCCAGAAGCAGAAAACTCAATTCACCTAGAAAGTAGCACAGATAGAAAAATATTTTTAAATATTAAAGAGGAATTTAGAGAAATGAGAGATAACTTGACAGACTCCAACATACAGCTACTTGGCGTGGAAGAAGAGAATGAAGGGAACCGAAAAGAGGAAATATTAGAGGAGAAACTGCAAGGTGTTTTCCACAATTGAAGAAAGGCGTGAGTCCTCAGATCAGAAGTGTACTAAAAGTCACGTGGCACAAATAGCTATAACTCTCTACTAATGTACATTTGATGAAACTACATAAAATCAAGGGTAAAGACAAAAAAATTTTAAGCAGCCAGACAAAAAAAGACAGACTACATATAAAATGATAAGAATATCCAATACTTCTTTGCTTGTAAAAGGAGAAAATGGAAAAACCAAAATATTCATGAAAAATAGAATACATTTTGTTTAAACTATAGTACATTTCAGTATGGAATCCTGTGCAGTTTTAAAAAAAAAAAGTAGAGCTACATACGTCAACAGGAATTAAATACTGTTAAGGGGGGAAAGCACATCTCTAAATAATATATATAGAAGATATTTACCTTCTTTAAAGAGAAATATCTGAAGCAAATAAAGTAAAATTAAGATTTGTCAAAGGTAGATGGTAGGCACATGTCTGTTTATTGCATTTTTTTATGTTCAAATTTTTTCATTAAAGAATAGTTTTTTTTAAGGTTTTTAGAAACCACAAGAAGTCAGTGTTTCTGAAAACAGACCAACTCAAGAGACATTAGTAATCCCAGTAATGAAGATTAATGAAACTTATAAAAACAAAAAAAGAAAATGGCCTCAAAGCCACTTCAGACTGAAAGGGTCTGTGGAAAAAAGATGGTAAGGGATGACACATGGTCAACTTAATGACACCTGTGCTAGTGGGAAAACTGAAGCAGCCACGGTGGGGTGATTTACAGGTGACAAAACGGGTTAATCTGGGCACATTCAGAGCTATCCCAGGAAGGGACAGACCCACTCTTAGGAAGAGATAGTATACAGTTAAACTGTAATACATTAAAGACAGAATTTAGTTATAAGCTTTTTGAGTCCAAAAGTATTGTATAATTCATCTAGTCCAGTGATTTTTCGGCTGTCTACCTCAGAACCATTGAGGTCCCTCAGAGATGCTGGAGGGGCGCCTAGGGGATGAGGAAGCAGGGCTGCAGCCCCTCAGTGTTGCTTCAGCCAGAGACCTTTTCATATCCTGGGAGAGAACTACTGTGCAAGCCTCTCACTGTACAAATCATCCATGACTTGGGGAAAGTCACAGTTAATTAACCGGTGGAGATCTGAATGTCATGATAACGCTTTTTCTGCTACATAGCAGTGCCTCCGCTACTCTGCTTCCGTCTTCCCTAGCAAAAACAGACAAAAGAAATGAGTGGTATATAAACATGGAAAGCTGTAATTAGTAATATGAGAAAGGCATTGTGGCCCAACAGAGGCCTAGAAGAATTACGTCCCCACATGTGAAATTTACAGGCGCGATTTATATCAAAATCATTGGCAGTGGCCCCTTCCTTTCTCCTTTCCTCCCTCCCCACCCTTCCTTTCTTTTGTAGGATTTTCTTTGTTCCCCCTAACATTTTTTCAATTAAATTTATTGAGGTGACATTGCTTAATAAAATCACGTTTCAAGTGTACAATTCAATAATATGTCATGCATACTGCATTGCGTGTTCACCACCCATCACCATATATTTGACCCCTTTAACTCTATCTCCCTTCCCACCCTTCCCTTTGGTAATCACCTGTTGTTTGTGTCCATGATTATCTGTTGGCTTGTCATGTTTGTTTGTTGCTTTCAGCTTTATATCTCACATATATAATGAAATCATATGGTTCTCAACTTTTTCTGTCTGACTTATTTCTCTTAACATGATTATCTCAAGGTCCATCCATGTTGTTGCAAATGGCAATATTTCATCTTTTCTTATGGTTGAGCAATATTCCATTGTATATATGTACCAGATCTTCTTTATCCAGTCATCTATCAAAGGACACTTCAGTTGTTTCCATGTCTTGGCCACCATGAAAGCTTCCGGGTATTTACCCAAAAAATTTGAAAACATTCGTAAAGATTTATGTACCCCGATGTTCCCGCTAACTCTTTATTATGAAAATTACTGTACATACACACACAAAAGCTGAAAGAGCGATACAGCAAATATTCATACTTTCCACATAAACAGTTGTTAACATTTTGTTCTATTGCTTCCCCTCTCCCTGTGTGTATTTTTGTTTTTGTGGAATCATTTGAGAGTAAGTTGCAGATAACATAATAACTCACCCCTAAATACTTCAGCATGCATCTCCTACAAGGAGCCACAATACCATTATCACACCCAAGAAAATTATCAATAATTCTATACTGTCATCTAATATCCAGGCCACGTTCAGATTTCTCTCGTTGTCCCAAGATGTCTTTTATAGTTTGTTTGTGTCATCATCGTTGTTTTTTTATTTATTTTTCTGAGCCAGTATCTATCAAAGTTCTCCATTGCATTGGTTGTAATGCAAAATAAAGGAGACATTTTCTAGAAAAATCTAATCTGGAAGTGGACCTCAGTTCCTTTTCTCATCACCGTTTCCTTTAACGATTGTGTATTCCAGGCTGAGATTCTGACGGGCCTCGCAGTCAGCAGCCCTGCGGCTGCTGGGAAGGCTGCGCTGGTGCTCATGCAAAGGGGCTGCCGGGTCGTAATCGTCACCTTAGGTGCCGAAGGATGTGTGATGCTGTCACAGACAGAGCCCGTTCCGAAGCACATTCCCACAGAGAAAGTCAAGGCTGTGGATACCACGGTAGGTTTTTAAATTTCAGAATCATTTTTGGCCCTCGAAATCACCCTTTAGTTCCTAAGATTTTTGCACTTGAATTTTTGGGATCATGAGGCAAAGGCCCTAGGAAGTGATAGCGGGGAAGAGAAGAACAACCGGGCAAGCGAACTGTATCCTAATCCCTCTCTAACTCACTGTAGAACCTTATACAAGTCATGTAACCTGAGCCTCAGTTTTCCCATCCAAAAAATCAAAATATCAGTAAAATTATGCCTTTAGTACCTATATTTATGCATTCATTTATTCAATATTTTTGGAATACCTATCATATGCCAGGCATACATTAGGTGCTAAAACAGGACAAAGTCTCTGCCGTCAAGGGGCTTAAATTTTAGACAATAAACAAATCACCACATTTTACAGGCTTCATGTGGAATGAAATAGCAAGGAGCAGTGGTTAGCAGAGCTCATTCTTTCGGCCAACAAATAATAACAGTTAACATTTACTACATGCTTACTGTGTTTCTTTTGTGTACATCTCATTTAATCTTTACAACAATTGTATGAGGTGGATGCTATTATTATCCTCATTTTATAGATTCAGAAACTTGCTCAGGACCATTATGCTGCGAAGCAACAGAGCTGGGGTTCAAAACTAGGCCTGTGGATACTGCGTGTGTAAGGCACTGTGGTGAGGACAAGCAGCTTAAGTGGACAAGTCCTGGCTAGCTACAAAGCAGGGATGACAGGGAAACAAGTTAGAAAAAAGGCTCAGGGTTCCTCTAAAGCTGGAGAAATAAAAATGATCTCTTTATGGCCTAGAATGCAGAAGAGCTGACTAAAAAAGTAAGCACATGTCAGAGACACGAAACGAGCTGAAGAATAAAAATTTTAGGATTTTTATTTATAAGAAAGTGCTGTATAATTATTTGTAAAATATGTTTTGGTTTTTATGCTTAGAAAAGACTTTAAAATGTGGATCATTTATCAAAAAAAGAAGCCTAAAGGGATCTGATGAAGTTTTGGATACAAATATGCTTTGAAAAATAGATAAGTGCAAGGCATGCTTTTATTAGATGAAATTACATCATGACTGCCTTTCAAAATGTGCTTTATCGGGTATTTGATAAATTGTACTTGATGTTGTTGTTCTCTTCATATTTGATCATTTCTGAAACCATTAGTATTTTTCTGTTTTGTCAAGATGAACAGTAACCTGAATTTGAGAAATTTCTCATTAGTTCTGAAATTGATCCTGCTTTAGACTAAAACTATTCTAGGTCCTGAACTAAAGTAGAAGAATTTATTCCTCTCTTACTAAAAATGAAATGAAGTGTCTTCGTAAAGATGTCAGGCCTATGGGGGTCCCCAAAAGTGGTTTAACCTCGTCTTTCAGTGCCTGTGTCAGTCACGACTCCTGTTTTTGCTCATAAGCAGCAGAAGTACAATAAACGAGCTTACACAGAAAAGGTGTTTGGCGTGCCTAATTAGAAAGTCTGAAACTGTGGTGAATGCAGAGGCTAACCCGTGTCACTGGACTTGCTCGCTTGCTCACTCACTGTGAGGTCTGTTTGCCTTGCAGTGGCAGTCCCGGGTAGCTCCCTGCCCACACTCTGCCCCACGTCATGCCCCATCTCTGGTGTCAAATAAAAATCAAAGAACTCTTATCAGAGGATGGGACATCAATGCCGGTCAGAAAAAACAACCCATACCCACCACAGAGCACGCGTATGAAAACACACTGCTTGGGCATGGGACTAAATGATGAAGAAACTAGCCTTGGAAATGTTCAAATTTGAGTCGCTATCAATAATCAGACTAGAAAACAGAATCATTTCATGTTGAAGGACTGGATTTCACAGATCGTGACAGATGACAACTTTGAGGATCTTAAACACGGCGATGTGCACCAGGGAGCTGTTCACTTTGTTTTGTGCCCCTTCATTTGGTTTCTTTGCACTTGCAGTTAATTTCTAGGTTTCATGAAAGGTGAAAAGCAGTCTGTGTTCAGAGGAGGAACGGAATTACTTAATGCTCAGAGGCGGGAGACAGAGAATGGGATCAGGAAGATCCGGGCACTGGATCAGGATCAGCAAGTTTTTTCTATAAAGAGCCAGATAGTAAAGTTTGAGGCTTCGGAGGCCATATGCATTCTTGCTCTGCCACAACTACTCAGCGCAGCCATGGTAACATGAAAGCATGCATAAACAACTTTTATTCTATTGGAATCAAGTTGGCACTAGTTACAAGTAGATTTTTTTTTTAAGTTAAAGTGTTAATGGAATCATTAGGACAAAAACTAAAAAGAAGAAAACTAAAAGAAATAAGGGAATTAAAATTGAACACTAGAAAATTCGAAAGACACAGTAATGGAGGAATAGAGGAATAAAGAAGCTACTGGAAGATATGCTAGTGAAAAATGAGGGATAAGACTGAGACAAAGGAAAATGTGGGGTCCAGGAAACAGGTGATACACAGGAAACAGGAGAGAAGTCAAGGATGAGGAAGGGAAATCCCAGGACAGCAGCCATGCGGCAAGCCCGTAACCAGTCAGTGCAGATGAGAGCGGGAGAGTGGAGGGCTCGGAGAGAAATCCACCCCCAGAAACAAACGAAAAAGAAAAAAGAAAGAAATAGTGGAATATTCATATGTTTGAATATGCCCAGAGATTTTTAGTTTTCTTGCAGAATTTGAGGACAAAGTAGTAATTAATATGTAGAAAACTGAGGAAATGAAAAAAAAAAATGAGGCAAATTTTTTCCCCTAGGTCATCGGGGGTCTAAAGGGGAAACGTATGATTAAGTAAATGTAATCTTACTACACCACTTGGCTGTGAATTCATAGTCATAACAATGTAAATCCAATTATTGATTTAACCAAAAATGGAGATTATAATCGTATTGTGAAGATGGAAGGATAAAGTGAGTGTGTGTTCGTGTGCACATGGAGGAAGATAAGAGAACTAGATGCTCATCTTCCATAGTTGGAAGTCAAGAGATAACATCTAAAACTGATTTTTAAAAATAGCAGTATAAAACAAAATAGCAGTATAAGCATATTACAGAAATAGAAGATAAATACCAGAAGAAACCACTAAAAGAATTTAAAGTATTTGCCCCATGGAAATGATTGTGGAGAGAGGTGGGGCATTAACACTTTAAGCCTGTTCTTTTGAGACTATGTGTATGGATGGCTCTGATTTTTTTAATGACAAACACAATAAGATACCACTTCATACCCACTAGGATGGCTATAATCAAAAATAGGTAATAACAAGTGCTGACTAGTATGAGTAATTGGAACCCTCAAACAATGCTGGTAAGAATGTAAAATGGAATAGTCACTTTGGAAAACAGTCTGGAGATGCTTCAAAAAGTGAAATTTAGAGTTAGTTACAATATACCTACTTCTAGGTATATCCCCAAAAGAAATGAAAACATATGTGTACACACAAACTTATACATGCATATTCATAGCAGCATTAGTCATAATAGCCCAGAATTAGAAACAACCCAAATTTTCATCAACCAATGAATGTTAAACAAATTGTGGCTTGCACTGTGGGGGAGGAAGAAAACTTCCTCTACCCTTCTAGATTCTTCCAGCTGGTCTAATAATTAAATCGACATGAGATAGAGAAATGAGAAAACAATCAAATTTAATTGCATGCATATGTATGGGAACCCCACATGCATGAGAGAGTCAGAGACCCCACATCCATGAGAGAGGTTCCTAGACGGAGAGTTAAAATGAAGTACATATGACATTCTGAGCTAAGGAGGAGGTAAGGCACCTGGGGGCTTCAGAGGGGAGGGAGATCATTCATAGGATAAGAAGAGCAGATGTTCAGTAACTAGAAGTTTGCCCCGCCCAATAGATAGGTCATAAAATGTTATTTCTGGTGATAATTCTTATTATGGGCAAGGCCCCAAATTTAAATTCTTTAAGGAAGGGGTAAAAGTTTCAAGTGAGCCCGCAGGGTCTCAATTGCCTTCAGCTCAAAATAATTCACATGTAAAGGAACACATCTTGGGGAGGCCTGTTCTGAACTCCTTCATGTCAGCTATGGCATGAATGAACATCCAAAACATTATGCTGAGTGAAAGAAGCCAGACATAAAAGGCCACATATTATATGCGTCCATTTATCTGAAATATCCAGAATAAGCAAATCTATAGAAACCAAGTAGACTGAGAGTTGCCAGTGTGTGAGGAGAGGGGAGAATGGAGAGTGGCTGCCGATGAGTACAGGGTTCCTCTCTGGGGTGATGAAAACGTCCCGGAATGGTGATGGTTATACGGTCTTGCGGATATACTAAACACCACTCAACTGTGTATCTTTGAAGGGCGAATTTTATGGTTTGTTAATGTTATCTCAATTTAGAAAACAAAAGTCAAAAAAAATAACAAAAAGATCCATCTAGGCACTTCACTAATGAATAGATACTCTCGTGATAAAGAATCTTCCACTTAATTGCTCTACTGAGTCTACTGAATGGGCTCTCAACATCCCCCCAGTGGAGCAGGAAACAAGGGTAGTTATTTTCTGGGTGTAGACTCTCCCTCAGCTTTTTTATGCTTTCTTTGTCCTGTCCTCCAGTACTCTCATTATTAAAATCCTTGCCTGTTCTGCACACAACTGTTCAGCCTCTTCATAAGTCTGATGAAGAGGAGATAATTCACATGGTGAGGCGAGGAACCCCTGAGAGGCATTTCCTTCTAAGCAAATGGGCTCCTTCACTTTTCTGTCAAGAGGGTATTCCTTGCTCTCAGTTGGTTTGTAACTTTCTCACTTTTCTCCTCCTAATCCTTACGATGCACACCTTTAAAAAAAATCATGTCATGAATTGTCAATCATACTTCAGTTTTATTTGTCAATCACACTTCAATAAAGCTGGGAAAAATTAAACAAGTAAGTGAATCAGGGATGGTGTGGATGGTGGAAACAGCTTTAGTTAGTTGGCACATTGACCACTTGAGACCAAGAGCCTGCCCTAGAAGGAGCCATTTCCCATTCTACGTCGATACGTGTGCAGACTGCTATATTCAGTTTTGCCTCAGTGTTAATAGTTGGATATATCACTTCTATTTTTACATCCGTTTTCCCGTTGTACTAGAGTGAGATGGTGGCAGTGGCTGCAGATGTCCTCGGCTCAGTTTGGAAGACATGACAGATGTGTCTCTTTTCCCATCTCTCTCTGTCATCTGAATCTCAGCTTCAAAATGACATGGCGCACATGTCTTCACTCCGGTCCTTCAACCTGAGGGTTAGGGGCTTCGCCTTCTTGTGTTCATCATTACACCAATAACCACTTCATAGTCAGAGTCACGCATGTTTAAGCGTGATAGTTTAAGACTGTTGTGCTAGTGTGATGTAATATGTGGTAACACTAATTATCCTTGGCCTGTAAGTGCTGTAAAATTATATATAAATTGCTTTTCTACACGTAAATGGTTATGTCCTAGAATCTCCACTGACACTCTAATTTTGAGAATTCATCCCCTAGACTAAATCTGTCTTCTCAAGAATCGCTCACTTTATAATAAATCATCTTAATTCAGGGCATATAAGTAAGCTGAGAGTAGTCAAGAGCCAGGGGCACCAGGGTTCTCTAACCTATTCTTTATTTCTCTTTCTATCTATAATATTTGAGTCCTGTAGTAGTCACAGTTGCTGATAAGGCACTAGCTATTTGTAATTAAAAACATATTTTAAAATCTGGGGGAAAAACCACCAAACTGTTATGATCATTACTCATGGGAAAGAGAATAGAATGGGGGGGAAGGTGTTGTAAAGGAGGACTTCTACTCCTACTCCATATTATTCTGGATTGTTTGAGTTTTTCCACAACCCTGTATTTTTCATGTATTACTTTGAAATCTGGGGTAAATATAACTTTGGGACATAGGGGGAAATTATTTGGAGCCACATCTAGCAAATAAGATAGGTGATGTAATTTCTAAGAGTATTCTGGGCATCATTCTCACAAAGGAGCCAGTAGTTGGCTACAATTCACTCTTGGTCTCATAAAGAACCTCCCAAGTGTTCCAGAACCTCTATGGCAGTGGGCTGAGTGGCCCTTGGACTTCAGATGACTTCTGAATGGAGCGTCCCCTATTGCCAAAGAATAAGTTCTACATTATCTTTAGATCCAGGGCACGTGAACCTCCTTAAGTCTGGATATTTAACTACACGCTTTTGACAATTTTTTGTTCTTAATCTTTCTTTAAAAAAATTCCCTCAAAAATATGTTATTTCATACAGTTTCCCTTGGAAATATCAGAATAAATGTCAAAGCTGCGCTGTTTCTGTTTGTCACTCCAATGCACACAGATCTTCAAAGTGACTTTACTCATGTTCAAGTTTTCTTTCTGAATGAGTCTGCTTATATATCTCAGTTTAACTCTTCAGCCTTCATTCTCACAATAATATATTAAATGATCCAGATTCTGGTTTTTGCCACATTTCT